GGTCGTATCTCGAAAAATTCGTAAGGAGGGGCGTTCGTAACTAGAGGTACCACTGTATTTGTTTTTCTAAATATTTGGCTTGATTATGGATTACAAATGCTTAATGTGGAATGTAAATGGAGCAAATGTTCCTCAAAAGAGGAGAAAATATTTCATTATTTGAAAATTAAAACAAGATATAATTTACCGACCAGAGAAACATATTAGAAAAAAGGACATAAAATATCTGATTTTTTCATTATTTGAAAATTAAAACAAGATATAATTTACCGACCAGAGAAACATATTAGAAAAAAGGACATAAAATATCTGATTTATAAAAATTTGGGTGAAGAATTTATTTCAGCAGGAACTAAAAAAAAAGAAAAAAAGAAATGGAGTTGTTTTGTATATAAATCCCCAACTAAAACCAGAATTTGTATTGACTGATGAGCAGATTTGTTGGGGTGGAAATTAATTTGAATGGGATTAAGACTTTGATATTAGGAATTTATGCTCCAAATGGGGATAAAGTACTGTTCTATAATGGAGAGACTAATAGGCTTCTCTTAGGAAAATTGGCGTTTGATGGGGGTTTGGAATGGAGTGGTCTCCCCACAACTGGATAGAACTTCTGAGAAAAATATTAAAATTACTTAAGACAAATTACCAAAACTTTTTTTTCCCATTTGATGTACAAATTAGGGGTAGTTGATAAATGGAGACAGAAAAATGGCAATTCAAGAGAGTATACCTACTTTCCTTTTCAAGAATATATATGATTTGAATTTCAAAGAAATTGGCTACTAAGGTTTTTAAAGTAGATACAGTATATTACTGAAGATTTTTTAAATCATAATCTTGTGAGTTTGGTTTATAAAAGGAAAGTTAGTTTTTTTATAGAGACTAAAAGAATATTGCTACAGAAAGAAGCAGTAGTGGGGGATTGTAAAAAGAAATTAAAATAATTTTTAAAAAAATAATTTAGATAAAGGTACTGATTTAAGAATGGTTTGGGATGCAAGTAAAGCTTCCATTAGATGTTATTTTATATAATATAATGATGAACTCAAAAAGAAGAGTCAAGAGACAATACAAGCTATTTTGGATGAGATAAAGAGAAAAGAAGATGAACTAAAGAAATTTCCAGAGAAGATAAATATTTCTCAACAAATTAAGCTTTTACAATGACATTTATCTATATTAACAGTAAGAGAAATGGAAATAAAAATGAACTATATAAAGCAAAAAAGAGTTTGCAAACAAATTAGGGAAGTCATTGCCATATAAATTATGAAAAGAAATGGAAAAGAAAATGATATTGAAATTATAAGAAGGAGATACTGCATTATTTATTTATTGTATTAATGGATAATGCGGCCATACAAAAAGCATTTCATCAATACAGATAGTCCTTGCTTAACAACCACAATAGGGACTGGAAAATTGGTCATTAAGCGAGTTACCACGTGACCAAACCCAATTTTATGACCGTTTTTACAACAGTCATTAAGTGAATCATCACTGTCGTTAAGCGAATCATGTGGTTGTTAAGCAAATCCAGCTTCCCCAATGCATGTTTTTTGCCAGAATTTGCTTAACAACCATGTGATTTACTTAACAATCATGTGATTCACTTAACAACTGCAGTGATTTGCTTAACAACTGTCATAAAAAAAGGTCGCAAATTGCGATCACATGACTGTGGGGGTTGTAATAGTTTTTGATGGTTGTAAGTGTGAGTACAGGTCATAAAGCACTTTTTCCAAGGCTGTCGTAACTTCGAACCGTTGTTAAATGAGCGGTTGTTAAGTGAAGACTACCTGTACTATTCCAACTTGTATAAAGGAAGTGACATCTTTCTGGAGAAGCAGATGAATATCTAAACAAACAAAATTTACTGAGGATTACAGAGGAACAGAGACAGATTATGAATGGATCTATAACAATAAGGGAAGTTTCTGAAGCTATAAGATTAAACGAGGAAATGTGCCTGGACCAGATGGATTAT